GACGTGGCTGGTCGTGGCGTGCGATTTCCCCCTTGTCACTGCCGACGTGCTGGGTCGGCTGAGGCGGGAGCATTGTGGTGGCGGCAGTGGTGATGATGGCGGCGGCGGTGGCAGTGGAACGGCCCCGGCGGCCGTCGTCACCTGCTTCCGCGGCGCGGACGGCAGGCCCGAGCCGCTCGTCGGCATCTGGACCCCCGAGGCCCTGGGGCGGCTGGCGGCGGCGGCGGCGAGCGCCGGGGCCGGCGGGAGCGGGAGTACCGGCGGCTGCTGCCCCGACGCGGTGCTCGAGGAGCTCGGCGATGCGGTGGTCACTCTTGAGCCGCCCAGCGGTGGTGGCATCTGCGACGTCAAGACGAAGGAGGACTGGGACTGCGCGCTTGAGAAGCTGAGGCTGAGGAGGGAGCCTCGACCAAGTCGGCGGTGCGCCGCCTGAGCCCTGGGAAAGGCAGTTGCTCATGATGATTTTATTCGTTTTCTATCTATACTGGGTCTGCAATACCGACCCAGCCCCCTTTCATGTAATACGTGCTTCCTTGTATACTACCTATATTCATTCTACAAACTGTCACACTCCTCGACTTGGCATAAAAAGCTACAACCACTATCACTCAAACGCGGTGCAGGCTGTACCTTCCTCATAGGTCTTCTTGTGGTCCTCTAGGGCTCGGCCGCGGATTGGCCGCGGTAGCATCCGTCGCCGGTCAGCTGGATGGATGCCTGGAATTCGCGCATCAACTAGTCTTAAACTTAGGTAGGTAGGTAGGTAGGTAGGTACCATGTATGTACATGTCGTGGGTGTAGTCCAAGAGCCTTGGCAGCACACGCACAACCTAGCCAGAGCATTGCTTGCGTGAAGATGCGATTCAGAAGGTCCGAGCCGTCCACTCCTCAAAACCAATGGCTGAGGTCAAAAAGGGGTCACTCCTTGACTTTGGCGCAAACGCGGAAGTGACAGCAGATAGTCAATACAAAATATTGAGTGAAGATAAAGATGGATTAAATCAAGCCGACCGGGAGCGTTTCTAGCTTGACAGAAGGAGGGTGTTCGTTCTTTCGGGCCGTGACGTGGTGCTCATTGGTGGGATCGAATCACTTTCACGAACCAGAAAGCACTGACCAGCACAGCAGTATCGCGATGCGCGGCAGGCGACCCGAGGAGGGCGAGAACGGGCGGCGCCTAAAAACAGAGCCGGTTGGCCGGGAGGAAGCCGATGGCAGCACTGCGACTGCTGTGCTCCCAGGCCTTTTTTTTCTACTTCTGGGCGAGATGATGTGGTCTCTGTGTGAGCCTGACACACACACACACACACGCACGCCTTTGCTGTCCGATAGCTGAGGTAGGTCAAGTACAATCGGGGTATTAATGCAGCGGCCCGTTGGGAAAGACCGGGGCCCTGCTCTTTCCCCCAAAATGTGCCGGGTTGCGGTCCTACCTTCGCGGATGGCTTCCGAGCCCGAACCATCGCCACTTTACTCTTCACTTTCTAGACAGGAGCAACCGAAAAGAACACACTCATCACGCTCTTGTTTTTCGCGCATCGCCATTGACAAGTGGGCGCCACGTGACTGCAATCCTCGCATGTACGTGTGTCCTTTCCCGCGTGTTTATTAAGCGCCCAGGTTTTTTTCGTCACCCCCGCCCATGATACATCACAGCCCGTACCTGGAGATACCTACCCCAAACCCGCTGTCAGCCCGGCCACGTAGCTGTTTCTGACACACGCATATTGGCGGCCCCCCAGTTCCGGATAGGTAACTAGCTGCTTCTAAAAATCTCGACCGCAGACCATGGTGTTCTAAGCAACCCCATTCTCCAGGCAACTCTCCATCCACGACAAATCCCCCGAATCGCACCCCATCGGCAACCATGCCAGTCCTCAAGGACCGGAACGACGCGTCGGCAGGCCTCGAGTGGGCTAGTGTCAACGAGGAGGCCCTGATCAAGAGATCGATCAAGAAGTCGCTCGAGCCCATGAGCCCCAGAGACATCAGGGTGGAGTGCGTCAAGGTCGAGGACTCTCCCAACCCGGTCGTCCATGAGCCCTGGGTTACCTGGGTTTGGGTCGTCACGACCAAGGAGCTCCTTTCGTTCCAGCAGGCCATGGCCGTCAGCTGGCGAGGGCTCTTGACCTTTTATGCAAGCATCCCCAATAGGCGCATGATTCTCCCAGTCTTGAATGTGGACGCTGCGCTCCCTGAGCAGGCGGATTATTGAGGTATAAGCATGAACGGCAAGCCCTGCGCGGATGATTCGTTTAGTTACTCGAAACCTTCTCTCCTTCTCCCCTCGTCTATCCTTTTTTTCAGTTACGATAGTCGGGCAACAGGACATATACATAGCTTTGGGGGCGCTATAAAAATTTCTTACGACGTTGAAGTAGTTTAAGAGTCTGCGAAACACAAGAAGCAAATGTGGCAGGCTACATCCTACAACCATTATATCAGGGTTTAGTTGGCTCGTTGGGAATCCCCGAATGGGTTGGCGCTAAGACCTCTCTGATAAGCACTCCCCGACTTATACACCAGGGATAGGACCTTGGCGCGTGGGTATCATCACGGACATTAAAGAGTGCTGGTTCCAGCTCGGTTACAACCGGCGGCCAAAAGTACCGCTCACACCCAGCCCTATCAGCACCATCCAGGGGCCTCCCATGCCGTCCTCACCATCCCCGACGCTCGACGTCGAGAAGACGCTCGAATCCCTGAGCCTGGCCGAGAAGGCCTCGCTCCTGGCCGGCTCCGACTTCTGGCACACGGCCGCGCTCCCGCGGCATGGCGTACCGGCCATCAAGTGCACCGACGGGCCCAACGACGCGCGCGGCGGCCGCTTCTTCAACACCGTGCGGCCCTCTGCGTGCCGTGCGGAACCGGCCTGGGCGCAACCTGGAACCGGGCCCTGGTGCGGCGTGCCGGCGCGCTGCTGTTGCGCGAGTGCGAGGCCAAGGGCGCACACGTGTGGCTGGGCCCGGACGGTCAACACGGTGTGCGCGCGCCGCTCAACGGGCCACGGCTTCGAGAGCTTCTTTGAGGATCCGCTACTCGGCGGGGGACCTGGCCACCACCATCATCATCTAGGGCGTGCAGGGCGCCGGCACCCTCGCCGCGCTCAAGCACTTTGTGGCAAACGCCTAGGAGACGGCCAAGATGGCGCCCGACGTCCGCGTGCCGGAGCGCGCCCTGCGCGAGGTCTACCTGCGGCCCTTCCAGATCGCCGTGCGCGACGGCAAGCCCGGCGTGGTCATGTCGTCGTACAATAAGGTCAACGGCGTGCGCGTTTCCGAGAGCCGCCTTGTTCTGGACCTGATCCTTGGTCAGGAATGGGGGTTTGAAGGACTGGTTATGAGCGACTGGTACGTATGATTAGGTGTCTACCCACCCAGCCTTGATCTTCTCTTCCAATCGCGGCAACGGCAGTCAAGTCTCACCAACACCTGGCTGTAACCAAAAGGTACGGCACCTACTCTTGCGCCAAGAGCCTCAACGCAGGCCTCGACATGGAAATTCCCGGCCCCGCCCGGTACAGGAACACCCAGGCGACCCTGGCCGCCGTCAACTCGGGCAAGGCCGGCGTGCACACCATCGACGAGCGGGCGCGCAAGGTGCTCGCGTTCGTCCGGCTGGCGACTGAGAGCGTCGCGCTGCTCAAGAACTCGGCGGGTGCCCTACCCGTCGACGCAGCCGCCTGCGCCGACGTGGCCGTCATCGGGCCCAACGCCGGGCTCGCCGCGGCCTGCGGCGGCGGCAGCGCCAGCCTGCAGCCCCACTACACCAGCTCCGTGCTCGAGGGGATCCGCGCGCACCTGCGGGCCGCGAACCCGGCCGCCAGGGTGCACCACGAGCCGGGCGTCTTTGGCCACGTGCTGCTCCCGCCCTTTATCGCTGGCAAGACGGTGGCCGAGGTGCCGATCGAGCTCTTCAACGAGCCGCACACGGTCCCCTCGCGCAGGGCCTTCGACAGCCTCCTAATCCTGGACACGACGTACCAGCTCTTGGAATACGAGCATCCGCGTCGAGGCTGGCAGCGCCTCCACGTCCAAGGTGGTGGCGCCCGGCGGCGGCGGCGGCGGCTCGCTGCTGCCCCTCCCCGGCGGGGCCTGCCGGCTGGGCGGCAGCCTGGCGCTGGACCCGGACGAGGGCATCCGACGTGCCGTCCATCTGGCCCAGCGTTGCGGGCACGTCTTCGTCGTGGCCGGGCTCAACGCGGACCTGGAGAAGGAAGGTATGGACCGCGCGTCCATGTCACTGCCGCCGTGCTCGACGCGAACCCGGCCGCCGCCATCGCCACCCAGGCGGGCAACCCGATCGCCACGCCGTGGCGGGAGCGCGCGCCGGCCATCGTGCATTCGTGGTACGGCGGCTGCGAGGCCGGCGACACCGTCGCCGACGTGCTTTTCGGTGCCGCGAACCCGAGCGGCAGCCTCCCCGTGACCTTTCTAGACCGGCTCGAGGGCGGCCCGGCATTTCTGAGTTTTGGCAGCGTCATGTACGCCGAGGACGTCTTTGTGGGCTACCGATGGTTCGAGGCCAGGCGCATCGAGCCCGCGTTCCCGTTCGGCCACGGGCTGAGCTACACGACTTTTCGCGCCTCGGACGCCGAGGTTGCTCTGCAGGTTGAAAACACAGGATCGAGATCCGGCGCAAAGCTAGTCAGGCTCTACGTGTCCTTCGTGACAGCTAGGCCACTAGGGAAACTTTGCTTTCTGAGGCCGTTGAGGACTGTGGCTGGCTTCGAAAAGGTATTCCTAGCCGCCGGGGAGTGCAAGTTGGCCACGCTGCCCATCAGAAAGGACGACATCTCTGTCTGGGACGAAAGGAGACAGTCCTGGTGCTGTGAGGCGGGCGAATACTCCGTGTCAGCTGTTACTGGCGCAGACTCCCTGGAGGGCACCTTTACCATCGTGAAGGACATTTACTGGACAGGCCTTGAGTGTAAATAACCGGAAACTAGTCCCCGAAAAGAAGCTGGCTCCTTGGTTAATAGACGTTACAATTTCGGACAAAAGGACAAGCGCAGACTCGCGATATCCCCAAGAAATATCCTGCATCATATCTCCAAAGCTTAGCAGCCACAAGGCTCCGGCCGCATGCCCTGGAAGTACCGAGGATACTGGACTGGTAACATTGCATGCTGTTTGATCCGCCAAGAGGAGCTGTCGGGGGACAAGAGCGCGCTTACCTGCAACTTACAGACAAGTCCGTGGTCAGCATTCTGGGGGTGGGGCTCCCTCCCCAAGAACCCCCAGATCCAGCGAGTCATATCCCTAGACCAACGGGCTGGGGAAACCACCGTTTTGCTGCACGCCAAGTCGCTTCTGCGGCTTCACTACCACCAACCCCTCCGCTGGGTAGCGGGCTGCCGGTCCCACCAGACAGACCTTTGCGTGCCGCGGTGTTGGCGAAGACGGGGAGCTGGGTAAACGCTCGGGGAGCTGGGTAAACGCTCGGGGAGCTCACAAGGCCCAACCGTCGGGGTTTCCGTCACCGGGCAGAGGGGGACAGAACCATTCCTCTCTTCCTATCAAGGCCAGTCCTCTGACAACAGGTAGGTGTCCACGAAGCAGGTGTCCGCGAAGCAGGTGTCGCGCCCCCTTGCTCTACAGCGCTCCATGGCCATGGCCAAGAATCGTATCCTCCGGCACTTCAACGGGCAGCTCGCGCTCGCCTTCGCCGTCATCGCCGTCTCGACCTTCAACTATGGCTTCGACAACGCGGGCTACGCGACGACCCAGGCCATGGAGCCTTTCCAGCGCCAGTTCGGCGAGTGGAACGCGGCCGCGGGCATGTACCGCATCCCACCGTACTGGCTGTCGCTGTTCAACAGCCTCAACTTTATCGGCTTCGCGGCCGGCGTCATCATCGGGAGCCTCGTCAGCCAGCGGTGGGGGCGACGCTGGTGCATGTTCATCATGAGCGCCTGGGCTGTTGTGCCTGCAATCATGGCGGTCACTTCCAAGTCAAGGGAGCAGATAATGGCGGCGAGAGTGCTCAACTGTGAGGACGCCGCGGAACCCCCAAGTGACATAGCCGTCGCAAGTAAGCGTCTAATAGGGGATTTGTACAGATATTTACATTGGGATGGAGCTGGCCGTCGTTCCGGTATATCAATCCGAGATCATGCCGAGCGAGATCCGTGGCTTTGCTGTTGGGTCCTACCAGTTCAGCCTAATGGTGGGTATTCCACCGCCAGCCCCAGGTCCGCAAATACTGGCTAACGTTTCTGCCACCGTAGTTTGGGACCCTGATAGTGAGCGCGGTCTGTCGTGGAACGAGCTCGCTCCCTGGCAACGAAGCCTGGCAGATACCCTTTAGCCTCTTCTTTGTCATCCCCGTCATCGTCATGGGCATGATATTTTTCATCCCCGAGTCGCCGCGCTGGCTCCTGACCAAGGACAGGTCCGAAGAAGCCCGGGCGTCGCTCGCCAAGCTCCGGGGAGGTGTGCTCAGCGGCGACGAGATCGATGAGCAGTTCGAGGCTTTGCGGCTGGCTCTAGACAACGAGCCCGAGCAAGGAAAGTTCAAGGAGCTGTTTCAGGGCAGAAATCTCAAGCGCACAGCCATCGTAGTCGCCATGAACTTCTTCCAACAGGCGACCGGTCAGGCTTTTGCATCAACGTACGGAGCCATCTTCATCCGAGACATCGGCACCGTCAACCCATTCACCATGAGCGTGATAAACGCCATCGTCAACCTCTGCGTCGCCTTTGTCGGCCTGTACCTCGTAGACCGCTACGGCCGTCGGTAAGCTGCAGCCCCCTGAGTCTGGGTGTCTCTGTAGAGAAGCTGAAACTAATCAACCAAAAGACCACTCCTCATGATCAGCGCTTTCTGGATGTTTTCGGCCATCGTGACCATGGGCGGGCTGGGCACGGCCCCGAATCCGTCGCCGGCAGTCAAGACGGCCATCGTCTCGATGCTGACCGTCTTCGCGGCGGGCTTCGTCTTCGCCTGGGCGCCGCTGACATACGTGGTGACGACGGAGCTCCCGGCTCTGCGGCTGCGCGACGCGTCGCAGCGCACCGCATCCATCGTCAACGTCGGCACCAACTTCCTCGTCAGCTTCAGCATCCCGTACCTGCTGTACCCGCCCTACGCGGCGCTGGGCTCGCGCGTCGGCTTCATCTTCGCGGGCGTCATCGCCCTGGCCATGGCCTTCACGTGGCTCTGCGTGCCCGAGTGCAGGGGCAAGTCGCTCGAGCAGGTCGACCGGCTCTTCAACGAGGGCGTCAGCGTGAGGAAGTTTGGCAACTACAAGCCCGAGGAGCTGACGGCGGGCCCCGAGGATGCGGGCGAGAAGGGAAAGGCGGGAGTGGTGGTGTCAAAGGAGGCGTGAAACCGGTGTGGTTCTTGGTTTGGTTTGCAGGCGCCATTATTGAGCCAAGGCAAAGTGCCCCGCTGAAGGTTTGAGCCTGGTGGCTGAAGCTGAACATTGAAGTGCACTGAATTCCACACCGTGCTTGGATCCAGCAGTTCCTGGGTGGCCTGTGCTGTGCTGCTTACTGAGACTCCCCCGCAGTAAGGCTTGGGCATCGTCTCCATCTGGGGCGTCCATGGATGCTATTTCAGTATTTCAGGAGATGTGCTCCATCGATTGCGCATGCTGGGCCCCAACAATTCAGGACATTCGATATCCATGCGCTCGGGCTGGAGCCAGGCTGCAACAAGCACCCCTGAACTTGACCCCTCACCATAAGCGTCAACCCATCTTACGCACAAGACGGGGGACAAGAACATCAGCCCAGTTCAGCAGCAGACAGCAGAACCGCCCATCCATTCCACGCGGTATTGGTCCATATCGTAATACATGATGACTGCAGGTTATCGATGCTCTCCCAGACAAAAGCAAAACCATTCAACATGCTAGGTACGGTAGCGTTGAAGCCTAGGCATCAACATTCGTGCGGTCTCGGCCCTCGAGGAACACCGCACCCTGCTGCCCTGTTGGTCCAATTTACGACGGCCCACGCGTGGCGCAGCGATGACCTCACCTCATTGGCGGCCTTGTTAGTGGGCTTGCAGGCTGGTGCGTCCGCTCCAGACGAGCTGGTCGGCCAGCCCCCCGCCTGGAGCAGCCTGTTGCCGCCGACACCCTGGCCGCTGGGCAAAACAGGGGCTGTCCCAGCTTCCCGTCCATCAGCACCGCATGCCGCCAAGCCGTCTTGGGAAAGTCCAAGACGACGGCTCTCCAGCGCAGCCAAACGGACGAGATCGACCCCACCACCTTCTCCCTCAGCTGGTGGCAGGTACTAGCCAGCATAGCTTACGCTCCTCATGCAGGAGCGTAGCACCGCAGGATCTCTGGGCGATACATGAGCCGTATTGCCGTGACAGGGTCCTCTTCATATAGAGCGCGGCCATCGCGTCTGCCCCAGGATGAAGATAGAAAACCGTAGAGGCCCCTTTCCATTTAGCATCTTTTAAGCCGCCCTTTCGGACCTATCGGCAAATAAAATCTTCTCCTTTCTATTGTTTTATCAAAGCACCATCCGTCTCTCCCAGGACAGCATTCAGGGCAGGAAGTTGTTAGCTTCGGCCGGCAGGAGATCAGCTAACGGCCAGACATACCTCAAGAATCTAGCAACGTAACATCAATCGCTTTGGTGAAAATGGCCGATGCCGCCGCCGCTGCGAAGAAGCGGGACCCCTCCAAGGCTCCTCAGGAGCAGGTCTCGGAGTTCTGGGACAAGTTCTTCACCAAGAAGCCCGGCAAGGTGACCTCCATCTTCCCGCGGCGCCTCTACGCCACCCTGCTCCCTCCGGACTGCTCCCGCGGCACCGCCACCACCCGCAACGCCGCCGAGTCGTACAAGGCCGCCGCCAAGGAGTGCCGCGAGCGCGTCCGCCGCGCCGTGCGCGACTGCCACCTCAAAAACGAGAAGTTCACCGACCCGGACTTCGACATCGAGACGGACCCTGAGGGGAACTGCCTCAACGGCCTAATCCGCGAGGATCCCTACTGCTATCACAGCAGCGATAATTCCGATTCCGGCGATGCCGGAGACGCCGGAGACGCCGGCCATACCGCCGGCGCCGCCAAGAGTGAGCAGCCGCGCCGCAAGGCCGCTGCCACGGCGTCTCGCCGTGGGCGTGGCGTGAGGGCCACCGGCACCCTCTACACCCCGGGGTCGGTCCATCGCGTCGACTGGATCTTCGACAGCCCCCGCTTCACTGTCGATGGCTACTCGGCCTCCGACATCAAGCAAGGCCGGAACGGCAACGTATGTATTTCGCTTTCCCCTGTTGAGTGTGTGGCGGGAGAGGCGATCCATGGCTGACGTCGAACAACCACAGTGCTGGTGGCTGGCCGCTGTGGCGACTATCGCTCACCGCAAAGACCTGATAGACCGCGTCTGTGTGGCACGCGATGAGGAGGTGGGCGTGTATGGCTTCGTCTTCCAGCGTGATGGCGACTTCATTCCCGTCCTGGTCGACGACAATCTTTTCTTGACCTACTCCGACTATAACGGGTATAGTGGCGATGTAAGTGTCTTTGAATCCTTGTCCGTTTCCAATACGCTAACACCGACCTTGCAGTACGATCCCATCGGCAGGCTTGAGAGGGACCACCGTTCAAGGTAAAACGATTGAATTTGACTCATCCTTGGCTTGAAAGTAATTGGTACTAACGCCCTTCCAGGCACCAAACCGGCTCGGAGGCACTCTATTTCGCCAGCTGCGAAGACAAGAATGAGACGTGGCTGCCCCTGCTGGAGAAGGCATATGCCAAGATCCATGGTGACTAGTAAGTCGCCCTATTCCGTTAAATGTAACCAATACCGTATTACGAACCGAACCGCTGACATACTTCTCCACTTTGTAAAGCGAGGCGATCGAGGGCGGTTGGTCTGGGGAGGGGGTCGAGGACATGACTGGCGGCGTGACAACCACGCTGGTCACCAACAGGGTCCTGAACAAGGACAAGCTCTGGCGCGAGCTGGTTAATGACGCTGGCGACTTCGTCTTTGCCCTCTCTGCTATGGGAACGGGCTGGGACTCCAACGCCAACGGCCTGGCCCTCAATCATGCCTACTCAATCCTGAAAGCAGTCGAGGAGGTCGGGGAGAATGGTGACAGAGTCAAACTGGTTCAGATCCGGTATGTGAAGCCCTACTGGAAGCCGCTTCCGTGCGCGCCCAATTCTACAGCTGCTAACAACAGTCCCTAGCAATCCGTGGGGTCGACGGGGCGGTGCCGGATTCGGCGAGTGGAACGGTCCTTGGTCTGACGGCAGCAAGGAATGGACTCCCTACTGGCTCAAGAAGCTAGGCCACGTGTTCGGCGACGACGGTGTGTTCTGGATGTCCTTCCGCGACATGCTCGAGAAGTTCAAGTTCATGCACAGGACCCGGCTCTTTGACGAGAAGTGGACTGTCGTGCAGCAGTGGACAAATGTCGACATCAGCTGGGTTACCGGATACCTTCAGTCGAAATTCCTGCTCGAGGTAGGTTGACCCTCCACTCACGTTTGATTCCATCCTCAGAAACTGACATTGGCACTCACTGGCACAGGTCAAAAAGGGCGGTCTGGTCGTCATCAGCCTCTCGCAGCTGGACGAGCGCTACTTTGTTGGGCTCGAGGGCCAGTACACCTTCTCGCTGCACTTTGTCCTTGAGGAGGAGAATGGAAAGACTGGCGAGCACATCTGCCGCGTCCGGCCTGCTCATGATTGGGAGAACCGTTCAGTCAGCTGCGAAGTGGAGCTCGAGGCCGGCCGCTACGAAGTCATTCCCAAGATCACGGCCACGAGGGACGCGGACAGGAAGCTTGTCGAGGACATCGTCCAGGAGTGCGCCGAGAAGCACCCCCAGAAGCTCCGGCAGATCGGGATGCAGTATGACCTCGCACATGCCAAGGGGGGCGTGACAGACGAGGACCTGCTGCTGGAGACCAAGGCTGAGGCCAAAAAGAGGAAGGAGGAGGAGAAGAAGAAGAAGGAGAAGACCAAGAAGGAAAAGGAAAAGGCCAAGAAGCAGAAGGAAAAGGCGAAGCAGCTCAAGGAGAAGCGTGAGAAGAAGGCGAAGGAGCGGAAAGAAAGGGCCAAAAGGATCGCCGAGAAGAAGGAGAAGAAGAGATTGGCTAAGGAAGCCAAGGCGAAGGAGGAGGCCGAGGCAAAGAAGAAGGCAGAGAAGGCAAAGGCCGAGGGAGAGGTTGCTAAGGCCGCCGAAGGAAGCGATGCGCCCACACCAGCCTCGTCAACCGAGAAGGGTTCCGACGACGGCATTGCTAACGTTATCAAGAAGCCGGCCGAGGGTGAAACCAAGGCCGACGCAGTTCCGGCCACCAAGGGCGAGGACAAGGCTAATGCCGACTCAGCTCCTACCGGTAAGGACGAGGACGAATCGGACTCGGAAGAGGAGAAGGAAGAAGCAGAGGAGGAGGAGGAGCAGGAAGAGGACGAGGAGTCGGATGAAGAAGAAGCTGCGCCTGCGGCGGCGTTGACACCTGACGACGATAGCCGGAGCCCCTGGAACGCGGTCTGCGTCATCGGCCTGCGGGTGTTCTCTCGGGACTCTGAGGTTTCCATCAAGCTGGTCAAGCCCAAGGATGCCGAGGAGGCCACCTCGCTCTCGGTTGGCACCACGCCTGCTGGAGCCACCATGTGAAGGGTGTAGTTTTGGAGCCGAGCTGGCACCTAGCGTTAAATCGAATCACATCAAATAGCGGTTAGGCTACGGAGCAATGGAGGTTGTGGAATGTGTCAATTAGCATTCTATACAAGACGCCAGTATTGCGTGGTCAGAACGCATATACGGCTTCATCCTTACTTGGTGTGAGTTTGGATGATCTAGCGATTAGATGAATGTTATCCCGTCCGCTCCATCCCTTCAGCCGAAAAAAAAAACTCACCTAAAATCCCTGTAAGACTCCCTGAAGATTGCCTGCCAGTGGCCCACTATTTGCTGTCAATTGGGTCGTTCCATTGGCCACCGGCACAACCCAGGCAGGCATGTTTTTCTCCTGCTGACGCCCAGACCATCCCTGGACCTGCTGGAAAACGCAGCCCCTCGGCTCAGCACTCAGCGTTTTTCTTCTGCTCACCGGGTCTCCCCGCTTTGGAGAGAAAGGACGACTTGGAAGCACGCAGAGCACAGGCGGCGGCTTGTCTCCGCAAACCTCCGCTTCTCATCCACGTAGGTGCTCACGCGAGCCCGCATCGCGGCTGATGACGCAGCATACCATTGTCGCGTGAATTGCGAACACACTTGGGCCTGTGTCCCCTCATCAGGCGCCCCTTGCGCCCCTTGGGTGCCCAGATCTGCCTGCATACCGCCCATCTTCCTCAAGTAGAAGCCACTGCAATCCTTGTCCTGTACTGTGCGGCATGCAAATCGCGACCCGGCCGCGGGAAACCCCAAGTCCCTCCTCGGCGGATCCCGTCTCCCTCGCCTTGTGAACCGGCGCCACGGCGGCCAATTACCGCCTCCGCGAACCTTGCGCGCGTCGCGCCCTCGGCCAGAGCCTTTCCTGCCAGGGCTCGCCAGTCCGCCGCCGAATCGGCCCTTGAAAACGAACCATAGACGCCTACAGCCCCTACGCCAACTCTTGCGTCGTCCAATGCGCATTCGCGACCAGCTGAAAAGGAGGGCCGGAGAAGCTGAAAAAGACTGGAAAGAAGGAGAAGAACCATGGAGTCGGCTGGCGGCAAGCAGTCCGGCGACGGCAGCGGGGATGCAGATCGCAGGCAGTCCAAGGACACCAGCGGTGCGCCGCCGCCGCCGCACTCGGACGAGCAGTCCAAGACTCCCAAGAAGAGACGCAAGGTCAACCACGGTAGGCGAGCCCACGCGGAGACACACGAACTACCACCATACCCGTACGCGCCTGCCTAGGTCCCTAGTACTGACTGTTCTGAGCGCCCCCGCGCTGCTCCTCCTAGCCTGTGTTTACTGCCGCAGATCTGTATGTCCTCGGTGTGTCCGGCGTCCTTCAATGGCGCAGCGCATCTCTCCTCCTTCCTCCAGTGGCATGAAACGCCCTTGTCAGGAGCTCGCCGAAAGCATGCCTCGCCCGGCCCGAATTATGACTGACACCATGGATTCTCTGGCCGCCTTTAGCATATGACTTGCGATCTCGTATGTAAGGTCTTTTTATTTTGTTTTCGGAGCCGGATCTTGGGCCAGGCTTTCTCAAGTCTGCTCTCTCGTCCTCGGCTCCTCGTACCGCAGTTGTGCCTCTACTGACCACCAAGCAACCCGCTAGGAGCGACCATGCACCAGGTGTATAAAAAGAAACATCGGCCACCTCTGCCACGACGAGCCGCGCGAGCACGAGACCAAGAAGGCCAAAAGCAGTACCATGGGTGCCTCTACCGTTGACGAGACCGAGACGCAGTCGGACATGACGCAGAGCTCGGTGGCAGATCAGGGCATTGGCTCCATGGGCCCTCCGCCGCCCTTCGACCACGGAATGGACTCTGGGGGCGGCACCCAGGCCGGCAAACCGACCGGCTTTGGTGCCATGGCCCCGTTGGGCCAGGGCAACCCCCTTCTCGTGCAACAACAAGCATCACGAGTCAATGTGGGGGCTCCAAGTGGTCTCGGCCAGTGTACGTTACGGCATCTTTACGTTAGTGCTCCCGGCGAGATGCCGCACGAGAAATCATTGCTGACCTGCTCTCAATGTGCTGCCGTGGCCCCCTCGCTGCACAGTCGCTGGGTTCTCAGACGCGTGGTTCAATCAAAACCACTTCCACGAAATGCATAGCTACCATCCCAGCTACAACCTCATAACCCCTGAAGTGACCAACGAGTTCAACCTACTGAGCGACTTCCTGCACGGAAGTTTGCTGGAAGACGGGGCGCTGCTAGATGACCAGATGCAGGGCATCACTGGGACCGAATCGACCCTGGGATTAGGTCTGCCAGGGAGAAGCGGCGGCGCCGACGCAGGAGCCAACAGCATGTTGCCTCCAAGCGTCACGTCCAAGGACGCCTTGATGATCCCACAGGCAGACAAGGGCAAGGCCATCTCCAGGCCCGGAAGCGTGGTACCCATCGACAAGGCTCGCGAGTACTACCTCCAGGCGGCCGACCCATCGGGCAACGATACGCCCGAGGCGCGGATGCAGCGGCTGCTCAAGGCCAAATACGACGCGGGGCTGCTGAAGCCATTCAATTACGTTAACGGATACGCGCGGCTGAATTCGTACCTGGACAGCCACATCGCGGCCTCGTCCAAGCAAAAGATTCTGCGGCAGCTGGACAAGTTCCGTCCAAAGTTCCGAGAGAAGGTGCACGCGCTCACAGACATGGAGCTCGTCTTCGTCGAGATGTGGTTCGAAAAGACGCTCATGGACTACGACCGCGTGTTTGCCAGCATGGCCATCCCTGCCTGCTGTTGGCGCCGAACTGGGGAGATTTTCAGGGGCAACAAGGAGATGGCAGAGCTCATCAACGTGCCAGTTGACAGTTTGCGCGATGTATGCATCTGGCCTTGCTACCTCTCTCGTTTTTCCTTTGTCTTTTTCTGGCTTCATCACTTGAACCAAATTCATTGGGCACAACTGACCTGGAAACTCACCTCGGGCTAGGGCAAAATTGCACTGCACGAGATATTAACAGAGGAATCGGTGGTCCGATACTGGGAAGAGTTCGGCACCATCGCATTCGACCCGGCACACGACACCCTCTTAACAGCCTGCTCGCTCAAGAACCCGGACGACAAGTCGAAAGAGCCGCCGATCAAGTGCTGCTTTTCACTTAAGATCCGGAGGGACGATCACAAGATGTAAGCCCCAACTCCCTTTCCGTAAAACCTACCGGCCTGGTGAAGAAATCCCATGTTTTGTTTGCCGCCTACCTAGGTAGGCTATCTTTACTAACACCCACCCAGTCCAAGCTTGATCGTGGGCAACTTTTTGCCCCACGACCCGCCTGACGACTAAATACAGCACATCTGTCCCGCTTGGGGGTGGTTAGGCTAGGGCCTATAAGTGCGCTTATGATGCCAAGAAGTCCGTAGCATCCTAGCATATCCGTATATCAAAAACATGGCGTGGGAAGACACCTCGTGGTGTTTAATCTTCCCGGTACATTGTCCTGGTGCAGAGGCTACTCCAAACTCGAGCACCATCAAGTAGGAGAGACTTTTGCCGCTGGCCTGAGGATACATGGTACCAATATCCTATGAGTGCCAAATATGAGTCGAGGCAGCATACCTACGCCTTGAGCATATCTGCCTGCCTAGACCTATTTAGGGACTCTCTTTTAAAAGCAAAGCGACTGCCCGCACAGTTGAATTCATCCATACTTTCTACAAAAGCCTTCTCGGTTTTTTTTTTCAGGTCATGCTATCCCCAGTCTCGTATCCTATCCAGGCAGTCGCGCTAGGAATTCACAATCGTGTCGCACCTTCCTCCCAACAAAGGCCGTGATGAAAATCCACAATACGTAATCCATTGCAGCCCTCTCTCGGCCACTGAGACTTGAACTTCGTTTTCGTCCCCCATACTCTAACATAGACAATGCCACCACCGCCTGCGGATGCCGCGCCCAATAGCCGGGCCAGCAAGATCAAGAAGCTGAAGGCAACCATCACCAGTGATTACCATCTCTTGCCAACCCCTTCTCTGCCCGCAGTGTTTCTATGCACAAAGACGCTGACCAGCCGCAGAACTCGCCGAGGACTTGATCCAGAAGCTCCAGACCCGAAGTCCCGAGCTCACCACAGCGGACACCCTTCGCGACAGCGTCCGCAAACACATTCGTAGCATCCACCAGCACCAAAGCCAGTACCATCTCCACCAGACCCCCGGCACGGGGCTTTACAGCGACCGAACCCTCGACAGACTCGGTACGAACCTCTGGAACCAATGCACCTACGTACGCCGAGAGATCGCCGACAAGGGCACGGCCGCCCCCCAGAAAGCCCTCCTTCTGGCCTCCCGTGTCCTCGCTTTCCAGATCATCCATCTAGTCCAGTGGGAATATGAGTGCCCTCCTGAGACTCTGACCTACCTGATGCGGCAGGCCTTGAAAGCAGCCAGATCATGTATCGGTAAGCACAGAGCCGAGTCCGCGACACAGCATAACAGTGTCGCTGACGACCCAAAAGAGGAACAGGACCCAGAGCTCTGCCAAATAGTGGTTCAGCACCTAGCCGAGTACGAAGGTAGAGCAGAGAAGCTGTGCAAGGGAGATATCGAGGCCGATCAGGCCCACGAGTGCTCCAGACTGAGGGCGGAATATTACGGCGTGCGTGTGGCTTTGGTACGTAAGAATGCCAACCCAGCGTCCCTGTGTAGAGGGGCATTCTCAGACTGACTTGCATCAGTGCTGGAAGGAGAATCAACTCGAGGTCGCCGAGCACATGTACGCCCGGGTGGAATCTCTGCTCCCTTCCTTGGACCACAATTCCGCCGAGAGCCTGGCCGAGGTTCTCTACGAGATCGGTAGGGACCTGGCCATGGTGAAGAGGGACTTTCCAATGGCCTCCAAGTGGCTAAAGAGGAGCAACGACATCATCAGCAGCCAGAGCATTGGTCAGCTCAGTGCCGAAGGGGTAGGCCTCAGGCTCTCAATCTTCCAGGCACATATCACGGCCCTTCTGGGACTCGAATCTCCCGAGGGCTTTGAGCAGGCGCGCGAGCTGGTCGGCTATCTTGAGACCGAGATCGGAAATCAGCCATTTGTTCTCATTCTCAACCTCGAGCTGCTCAGTAAGTCGCCTGCCGAAGTTTTCGACGGCGAGGCTTACGGAGACGTCCTCCGCCGCATGATCAAGGCCTTCAAGTATACAGATGCAAATTTCAAGGCTCTCAAAAGGCACATTCAAAAGCTCCACGAGAAGTGCCCTGGCCTCGGCGTGAAGATACTCGACGAGTTTCTGGTGAGCGTGGAGAACGCCAACTTTGGCGGCGGCGACGGCCCCGAGTGGTACGACAAGCTCGTTGTCCTCCGGGTGAAAATGACCACCCAACTCCGAGAGTCTATGGACAGCATCCGGCAGGCTAAAGCATTCTTCTCCAAACTGGGGCTGCCGGTTGGAACAAAGGCGGCCACAGGCTCTCAGATGGTATGCAGAGCCCATCCGATCATGCTAGCATATAATCCCGGTATCTAACAGCCCTGTGGACCAGCTGATCTGGAAGATGATCGACGCTAGCTATTCTCAGGGGCACTGCGATGTGGCATCGGAGTGGTGTCATCTCGCACTCGCACCGGTATTTCAGGATTCGGGCCCGATCAACAAAGCAAAAATTGAAAGGTCAGCTGCCGCAATATACTCGACTAGTTCAAAGACATCTACTAACACTCCGCAGGAAGTTGCTGCTCTGCAGCCTATCTCTCAATGACTTGCCGGCGGCCCTATGCACTTACCACGGCATGGCCGAGCAAGCGCAAAAGGAAGTCATGACAAGGTATTTGATGTTCAAAGTCGCTGCTCGAAGTGGCGACTTTGACTTGGCTACCCAATGCCTAGAGACCTTGAGCGCGTCCGACAAAGGAGAAGACTTACTATACGCGTGTGTCCTGGACGCTCAAAAGGCCGGTGACAATGCATCTGTTTCCGAAGCCTTGAAGCGGCTTGTCCAGAGCGGTGGGCACAAGACGAACGGTTCGATCCATCTCCCAACACTTCTGAGATGCACCATCCGGTATTTGCACAAGCTTCTGGAAGATGGCGACAGCCATATCGATCAGTCAAGCGTCGTCTCGGATATTATACTCATGTTCGATCAGGGTGCGTAGCTAATCCGGTTTCGTGAAAGTTCATGGTCATGGCCGTGATGCTCACTTAACTCTACAGCTGTAAAAGGAATGGACAGAAACGAGACGGACGCTGGCGGTAACAGGCTGTTCGATCTCAGAGAACTCGAATGGTTCTGTCAGAATTCTTACAACTTGGCGATCAAGAACACCCAGACGTGGGATCCACGCCAGGTGGTTCGGATCCTGGACGCTTGCATCAGGATCGCGGGCCATTTCCCGCTCGACGCAAGCTCTCCAGTGGCTAGCGACCTCCCTCTCCGCAGGCTATTCTGCCATTTCGTGAGCGCCTCTGCTCTGGCCGCTCTCGCTCGAGGACAGGATGAGGTAGAGAAGCAGCTTCTCGACTACCAGGGGGTACGCAAGAACGTGGCAGGGTTCGAGACGGCACTGGACACATACCAGCAGAGCGAAGGTGTCTCGCCGGCCGACTACAGGCACTTGCTCAAAAAGCTCCAGACCATCATCATCTTCGACTTGGAGGCCGCGATCCATCTAAAACAGTTTTCACAGCTCGGCGAGGTGGCGCGACGGGCAGTGATCTGCGAAAATGCCGACACATTCAAAGCCATGGCGGACTGCCTTTTGCGACTTCAAGGGCCCTGTCAGATCCCCTCACAAGGTACATTTACCCTTTATCCTCGATTTCTCGATGATTAGTCACATGGGGATGAGGAAAGCAAAGGTTGCTCGCTAACCGACAATGACTCCCGCAGAGCTCTATTCCACCCTAAACTTTGTAATCACGCAGCTTGCAGAGCTGCAAGACTACAACTCTGCCACGCTCTTGAGATACATCCGCTGTCTATTTCAGGCAACGATGGGGCTGGATCCAGACCTAGCATTCAATGAGCTGAAAACGGCGTGCGATGTAGTGAAGCGATCGGTTGAGGTAAGAGGCAGTCCCTATCAGTGCGGTATGGAAGCAGGGTAATGGTTTACTTATTCTCGATACACATTCTACTGTAACAGGTCGAGGGCTCTCCATGGCCCCGCGAGGAGCTGGAGTGGATCGCAATAGTGGCATACAACCATGGGGTCGATTGTTCTAGCCAGGAAGACGAGGAAAGGGCTCAGAGGTGGATCCGCATGGCCATCAACCTAGCTCACTACAACGACGACAAAGGCAAGCTGAAGCGCTCGATGCACGATAACTACATGTCTCTGTCTCTGAGACAACAGGGCGGGCGGACGGCTTGATTTTTGGGTTGTTATGTAGGTATCCAAGTACCACCCCTTCTGCATAGACTAGAACGGGGTATACAACACCAGGCCAGAGCGATCACGCCCAACCGACAGCCGGCCGAAATAAAAAAAATATAAAAACCCCGTGATTTCCAACGAGCTATATCAAGAAAGCCCAAAACCAACCCAAAAGACAGGGGGAACTCAAATAGCGATGAAAAAGTTCTTCTCTCCCTCCTTGGGCACGACCCTGGCCCGCTCCATGATGGGGTCGACGCAGGCAAGGCGGATGCGCTCGGGGGTGGCGGGGCTCTCGAGGCGCAGGAGCCCGTCGTGGGGGTCGTCGGTGCCGACGGTGGCGGCGACGCCGTACTGGGCGCGGGCGGCCTTGAGGGCGTCGCGGATGGCGAAGAAGACGGCGCTGCCCATGAAGAGGGGCGGCTCGCCGACGCCCCTGCTGCGCTGGATGGTGCGCAGCTCCTCCCACTCGACGCCCTTGAGCAGCGTCACGTTGAAGGTCTGGGGCACGTCCCGGAAGCCCGGGATCTTGTAGGTGCCCGGACCGCGGGTGAAGAGCTGGCCGGCCTGGGGGGCCCGACCGGAGCCAGAGCGACTCCTCCATGGTGAAGAGGCCCATGCCCTGGACGAAGGCGCCCTGGATCTGGCCGTAGTCGATGGCCGGGTTGATGCTGCGGCCGACGTCCATCTTGACGTCGGCGCGCAGGCAGGTCCAGGTGCCCGTGAGGGTGTCGACCTCGCACTCGGCCGCGGCGACGCCCTGGGTGAAGTAGAAGAACATCTTGCCCTTGTTCTCGTCCCACGAGTAGCCGATCTCGGGCGTCTTGTAGAAGCCCTGGGCCGAGAGGTTGACGCGGTCAAAGTAGGCGGCCTCGGCGAGCCGGCCCATGTCGGCGTCGGGCCCGAGCCTCTCGCGGTAGGGCGCCAGGCGGGCGTTGAGCTGCTCGCAGGCGTTGGCGATGGCGTAGCCGTTGAGGTCGGACGAGGCCGAGGCGGCCGTGGCCGAGGCGTTTGCGACCGTGTTGGTGGCCGTCTCGGAGATGTGGACGCGGTCGAGCGGCACGCGCAGGGCCTGGGCGGCCACCATGGCCATCTTTGTGTGCAGGCCCTGGCCCATCTCGGTGCCGCCGTGGGCGACCAGGACGGAGCCGTCGTGGTAGACGTGCACCAGGGCGCCGGCCTGGTTGAGCCAGAGGGCCGTGAAGGAGATGCCGAACTTTGTGGGGACCAGGGCCAGGCCGCGCTTGCGCCAGCGGTTGGCCTCGTTGAAGCGCGCGGCGGCGTCGCGGCGGGCGGCGTAGGCGGCCTCGTCCTGCAGCTGGCGGTACATGAGCGGGACGTGCCAGTCAGTCAGGGCCTGGTTGAAGTGCGTCTCGTCGCCCGTCTTGTACATGTTGACCTCGCGCAGGCGCTCGACGGGCATGCCCAGGCGGTCGGCCACCTCGGCCATGTAGGTCTCGGCGATGAACATGCCCTGGGGCCCGCCGAAGCCGCGGAAGGCCGTGTTGGACATTGTGTTTGTGCGGCAGATGCGGCCGCGGACGTGGACGTTGGGCACGCGGTAGCAGTTGTCGCTGTGCGTCATGGCGCGCTCGCACACGGCCGCGCTCAGGTCCCACGACCAGCCGCCGTTGTTGAAGATGTCGAGGTCGAGCGCCTGGATGGCGCCGTCGGCGTTGACCCCGACCTTCCACCGGCCCAGGAACGGGTGCCGCTGGCCCGACGTCACCATGTCCTCCTCGCGCGTCAGCATGCACCGCACCGGCCGCCGCGTCTTTTGCGCCGCCAGCGCCAGCATCGAGCTCAGCGGCACCGACCGCGACTCCTTGCCGCCGAAGCCGCCGCCCAGCCGCTTGACCTTGACGAGGACCTTGTTGACCTGCACGTTGCAGACGCGCGCCGCATATACTTGGCTGTCCACGGAAGCCTGTTAGCACGTCTACACACACACACATATATATATATATACAAGCAAGCACAGTCCAACTCACGTCTCGTTTGCGTTCTGCGTGCTGCAGTAAATCTCCATCTCGCCGTCCTCGGGCTTGGGCACCACCAGAGCCGCGTTGGTCTCGAGGTAGAAGTGCTCCTGGCCGCCCATGCGGGCCACGCCGCTGAAGACGTGGTCGCACTTGGCGAATGCGGCCTCCGGGTCGCCCTTCTTGATCTCCCTGAAGAACTTGTAGAAGCTCTCCTTCTCGATGGCTTCCTCGATGGTGAAGACGGCGGGCAGGTCCTCGTACTCGACCTTGACGGCGCGGGCGCCCTCGGCCGCCTGGAGCGCCGTCTTGGCCAGGATCAGGGCGATGGGCTGGCCCGTCGTGAATACCTCGTCCTCGGCGAAGAAGACCTCCTCAAAGTGCGGCGCGCCCCAGCGGTTCAGCTCGGGTCGCGGCAGGTCGTGCCGGTCCACGTAGTCGACCACGCCCGCCGTCTCGAGCGCGGCCGAGTAGTCCACCGACAGGATCTTGGCGTGCGCCCTGGTGGACAGCACGAGGCAGCCGTGCAGCTCGTTGGCCAGCGGCGGAATGTCGTCCGTGTACTGCGCCTCGCCCGTCGTCTGCTTCAGCGCCGCCAGGTGGGGGTTCGCCTTCCCGACGACCTCCTGCTGGTACGCCGCCGTGGTGTCGACGTCGATGGTCCCGGTTGAGATATCCCTCTCCAGCTCCTCGATTGCATCCTTGTCCGCGTGCTCGGCGGCAGGGGAAGCGGTACTCTGGCCGCTCAGCTCGGCCATGACGTCGTGGTAGAAGCGGTAAAAGAAGCCCAGCGCGAGCGACTTGCGGTATGAGGCCATGCCACCGGGGACGCCAAAGGGGAGGTTGAAGTCCTCCTCCAGAGCGTTCATGGCACCCTCGAGCGTCTCCAGCTCGGCGAACTTCTTGCCGGCCATGAACTCGGACGTGGCCTTGGCCGCCAGCGTGAAGGCAGCCATGCCTCCGAAGACGAGGTTGCACTTCTCTATGACGCCATCGTTGTCCAGCTTCACTTTGAGCGCCGCCGTGACGATTGCGATGTCGTCGTCCTTCCTCTTGGCCTGCTTGTAGGATCGGAAATACTCGCCCTTCTCCTGGGTCAGGGGAATCCGAATCGAAGCAATGATCGCGTCGGCCTCGAGCGCCGTCCGCCGGTAGCCCCGGAAGAAGCTGGACATGGGGATCTCGGTGTCCTTGGCTTGCGACTTTGCCAGCAGCACCGAGTCTGAAGCCACAAAGATGGGGTTCAGGTCTGAGATGGGTGACGCTGTAACAAGATTGCCGGCCGGGGTGCCGACGTTCCGGATCTGCCTCCCGGCGAAGTACTTGAGCTGCTTGTACATGGCAGCGAAAACCTGCGACCGGGCGTCGCCATAACGAGAGATGGCCTCTTTGCAGATGGCCTCGAGGTCGGTGAGTGTGACATTGCCGCCGACCTCGACATGGTCGTCCCTCAGGGAGTACTGGCGCAGCTCTGCTATATCGCCAACATAGACGGACACGGGGTACTGCTGCGCCTTGAACTTGATCTCTATCTGCGTCTCGGTGCTGCCGCCGATGATCTTGGCGTTCGGGAAGACACTCCTCAGCTCGAGCAGTTGTTCCAAGGTCACCGGACGGTACCACCGCTTCCTCTTGTTTCCAAATGACAGTGGCTTGAACGCGTGCTTCTTGAGCGCAGGTGGGAAGATGAGCTCGGTCTCAGGGTCGTACTTAACCAAGTCCGGGCGGGCGAAGGTCTTGAGCGGAGGCTGGTCGCCCGTGGACTTGGAATCCGACTTGCAGCAGCCACCTGGAGGGCCGTCGCCATTTTCCATGCAACAGCCGCTCCCGCCGGCTGCGGTGGAGTTGCCGCAGCCGTTGCTCCCCTTCTTGACGCTGAAGGCATGGGCAGCGTCGAGGATGGGGCGATAGCCGGTACAGCGGCAAAGGTTGCCATCGAATGCTTCCTCAACATCGTGTTCCGACGGAGCATTGTTATTCCTCAGAAGCGCATACAAGCCTGTGCAGAAGAATAGGCCAATGCCGTCAGCGACTCCAAGATCGGATTCAGGGGCATAAAAATAGTCCGAACATCAACACAAAAAAAAACAGGGTTAGGGTCAATGGCATACTCATGGCAATTCCAGGTGTGCAAAAGCCGCATTCTTGACGAGGGAAAAAGAGTTAGTTATTCGAAGACTTCGGTTTCTGAGATGCTGAGCAAGGGACTGATGTCTGGTGTCTAGTCTTACGGCTTCCATTGCCCTGGGCAATCTGCTGCTGAGCTACGTGTGGCTTCTTGGTGTTTCCGATGCCCTCGATGGTGATGACATGTTTGCCATCGACGCTGGCCAGTGGGGCCAGGCAGGCGTTGACGCTGGCATGGTAGACCTGTTTGGTGGTTGGGTTCCAGGCGGCGACAACGACGGTGCAGGCTCCGCAGCCGCCCTCTCCGCAGCCACTGCCCGGTTGTGAGACGGACTCTCATGTCAGCGGACTGACTGATGGGCAAGTGATTGAGACGAAGCTAGCCTTGTCAGGGGGATGATGAAGATATCAACGGGACGGTCATGAATTACAGCTTGGTGCCAGTCAGGCCAATGCCCCTCAGATACTCTAGAAGGGTGATTTCAGGGTCTATCTCGTCCAGCACCACTCTAGTGCCGTTGAGGAAGAAGGCAACGCTGTCATCGTAGGTGGTCGTGAGCGGGCGCAACGGCAGTGATACGTCCCGCTGCGGGGGTACCGCAGTCGGTGCCATGGGATCGGCGCCGAGCAGGATGTCTCGTTACCAGATATGTCGGGCCGTGGGTAGCGCGGTGGGCAGGTTTGGTATATAGCGAGTATATGCAGATGGCCGTTTCGTTTAGTAGAGGAAGGAGGCTCAGTCCCACAATGCAATAAGCGATCAGGACAAGCGAGTTGGGCTTCTCGATAGGCAGGAGGCGGGGGCCACGCCAAGAACCCGGCAAACGGCAGGATAAATATATGCAGGGACGGCGGAGGACATTCAGGTCTAGTTCACTGAATCAACGGTGGTCGTATCAGATACTAGTATCAATGAGTGAGCACCGGGACGGACGAAAGCTCACTGACAAACGCCGCCAGACTCAAGCGGACGTAGGGGAGGTGGAGAAGGGAGATAGAGATAGACTGGTGCGGAGAAGTGGCAAGGAAGATACCGCCCTCCAATCGAGCCTGAGCCATCACTCAGCAGAGGCGTTGGGCGTGCGGGGAATGCTGCTCAGTCCCGTTGGAGTGGCACACTCAGTGGCCGAGCGTTTACAGTGTAGATTCTAGTTGGCGAAACACTTGACACAGTCTCACAGCCCGTTCCGGCCTAGCCTAAAAGGGGTGCTCAACACCCAAGTTCCCCGAAAGCAGCGCAACTGCGACCACAAGATGCAAATAAGACAGACTGATGGGAACCAAACAGGTAAAAAGTTGCTATCAGGACTTGGAAAAGAGACTATACTTATACCACGCATACTCCGTATCAAGCCAGCTGTTGTGCATGAGATGCGCATCAGAGGAATCGCCAAGACTTTGCATATCCTTTGAAAGGAGTGGCAGGAAGATGGCTGTTTTCGGTTGGTGTGCCAGACTCGCGCCCTTCTTGGAAGCGATGGCTCTCGCTCTTGAATGTTCAAGACCAGCAAGGGATTTCGGCAGATCCACGTCGACAAAGTCCATTTTTAAACCGCCGTTTGGTGCTTGCTTCTCCAAAACATCAGCATGGATCGGACATCGGAGAATGCAAATCCGCACCTGAGACGCTTCCAGATAAATGATAGAAAATAGCGCCGAGACGGACGGCCACACACCTACACAGTAAATGCGGATAAGAAAGCGGGGTGCTGTTGGCAGCGACTCGAATTGAAGTGCCGCTCGGCTTAGCTGGTAGCGCGGCCACTGTCGGCTAATCTCGGCTCGCGGTGGGCCCAACCACGCTCGGCGGGCCTATTCCGCCTCACCGAGCCCTGGGACCTGACGTACCCGTCCAGGACAAGGCCGGGCTCCCCATGGGCGGCTCTAGGGGGGCCCCCGACCTCGAGACCGAGTCCTGGTCAATTCTTGGGGGGTTTAAGGTGCGCACAACACGTACTGTACACCCAACAAAGGCCGACGAGGACCGGCTGCCATCATTCATGGCCCGGCCCATCAGATAACTGCCCGCTCTCCCGCAGGCGCCCTGGGGGATGCCCTGTACCTGCTGTATGTGGTTGCGGTCCTGGTCTATCTCAAGTGTGCGTCAAGACCCGGTTTCGTGCTTGGCTCCCTCTCCCGTCAGCCACCATAAATACGGCCTGCTCCCTTCTTTGACACACGTATGGAGGGCTCATTATTTTGAGCCCTCACTGAGCTACCCGTCCCATCCGAATCATACTTGCTACTCTTGACTTGGCGGACTCGACTATAATAAGTCCTTCGTCTCCCTCCCTCTTGGCTAGATACATATCAGAGTGACTACCAAGCACTCATTAGTCCTACAACAAAGCATCACAGGCATAAGAACATCCCGGCTCACTCACCCACGAGTCCTAACAAAATCATCACATTATCCAGGAGACGGTTTCTTTCTACTACTTCTTTTGTGTCCATGTCGCCCTCTGCCCTGACAGACTCCCCGCCATCACGCACCTCGGACCCGGCCGTCCAGCGCGTCGTCAGCAGCGGCGTCGACAGCCTCGCGGTGCAGGACCCCTTCCCGAGCTTCCATGGCTACGACCATGTCACCTGGTGGGTGGGCAACGCCAAGCAGGCGGCGTCGTACTACACCACCCTCTTCGGCATGACCACCATCGCCTACCGCGGGCTCGAGACCGGGTCACGCTACTTCGCCTCGTACCTGGTCGGCAAGGGCGACGTCCGCTTCGTCTTCACCTCCCCGCTGCGCTCGCACGCCCACCTCCCCGCCGACGAGCCCATCTCGTCCGAGGACCGGGCGCTGCTGGTCGAGATGCACGCGCACCTCGAGCGCCACGGCGACGCCGTCAAGGACGTGTGCTTCGAGGTCGACGACGTCGAGGGCGTCTACGCCCGCGCCGTCGAGCAGGGCGCGACGTCCATCGCACCGCCCCGGGTCCTGTCCGACAAGCAGCACGGCTCCTCCGTCGTGACGGCCGCCATCCGCACCTACGGCGACACCACCCACACCCTCCTCTCGCGCCGCGGCTACGGGGGCGTCTTCATGCCGGGCTTCCGGGCCGTGACCAAGCCGACCCCCGCGGCCCACGCGGCCCTGCCCGACGCGCCCCTCCGGCGCATCGACCACTGCGTCGGGAACCAGGACTGGGGCGACATGGCGGCCGCGTGCGACTTTTACGAGCGCTGCCTGTCCTTCCACCGCTTCTGGTCCGTCGACGACAACCAGATCAGCACCGAGTTCAGCGCCCTCAGCAGCGTCGTCATGGCCAGCCCCAACAACGTCGTCAAGATGCCCATCAACGAGCCCGCAAAGGGGAAGCGGCGCTCCCAGATCGAGGAGTACGTCATCTTCAACTCCGGGGCCGGGGTGCAGCACATCGCCCTCCTCACCGACGACATAATCGCCACCGTCGAGGCCATGCGCGCGAGGGGGGTCGAGTTCATCGAGGTTCCCCCGACCTACTACGACTCGATGCGCAAGCGCCTCCGCACCGAGCGCCGCGGCTGGGAGCTGGCCGAGGAGTTCGACACCCTCGTGCGCAACAACATCCTCATCGACTACGACGAGGGCGGATACCTGCTCCAGCTCTTCACCCGCCCGCTCATGGACCGGCCCACCGTCTTCATCGAGATCATCCAGCGCAATAACTTTGACGGCTTCGGCGCCGGCAACTTCAAGAGCCTGTTTGAGGCCATCGAGAGGGAGCAGGCCGAGCGCGGAAACCTATGATCCTTTTCGTTTCCGCTTCTAGTGTTTGACTTGACTCCCTTTCATCTTCTTCATTCGCTTCCCTCTTCTTTTTCTTCTCGACGCGAAACCCACCATGTATTGGGAACGAAATCTGCCTGTTTTATGTTTTGGATCGAGCGGTTTGCGGCATGACGGCTACGTTAAGGTTTTGATCCCCTTTTTCTCTGTATATACTTGTGCATCTTGGGTGGCTCATCTTCACAGTACGGCGAATAGCAAAATATCACCTCTTTGGAAACTTCCCGATGCTGCCCTAATTATTTGATTGTAAACCGTGGCCCAAACTCCCGTCCATCTCTCACCAGTGCCCTGCCCGGCAGCGCCAGTGCTTAACCTATATCAACCAGCCTCGTCTAAAGGCTACTACCGACCGACCGATCCCCACCGCGTTACCCAAGTCGACCGCCAACCGCTCCCAACCTTACCCAAGCCCCCGCGAACCTTATCCCCCTCGCCCTCCCGGAGTCGACGGTTCGAACCCCGGTTGGAACGAAAAGAATGTGTGAGGAATTAACGGGCAAAGGGACTTCAGGGGTGGCCAGGTGTATGTAGCTCTCATCAATACGGGTAAGGTAGCATGATAGGTACTGTAGCGTGATGTATTGCGAGGGCTACAGGTAGTTGTAGGCCTGTAGCTGTAGCCCTCGTGTAGGACCCCTAGTTACATGTTCAGTAACCGTAGTTTGTAGTCCACACTGTAAGTCGAAGTAAAACCCTCCAGTGAGTGTTTTCGTAGCTGTCCACCTCCATCCGGGGCTGGGCAGTGAGCTTTTTGGGTATATGGTATGGCAAATTCTTCCTATCCTTTCCCCGTCGCATTCGTAATGTTTTTCCACGCTTGGCCCTTAAACGGCGCTCTGAGAAGCAGCCCGGCGGCTATTATCGACCTCCATTATGGTGATATGTTTTTTTTTTTTTTTTTGCTTTCCTTTACAAGACGGACCTCGAATCACGCCTTGCCATTCGCAGCAGGCCTGCCGTTGCCGTTCTCCCCACCAGCCTGCAACTCATCGCGCGTGTCGCCCTGGCAGCCGGGGCAGTTGTGCACGACCTCGTGCGCAAACACGTCGCAGTCGATGCAGAAGTGCTTACGGCAGACCTGGCACATGTACCGGCCACTCTCGCTCACGCCCTTGGGCGTCTCGGGTGCCGCTGACGACGCCCCCCCTCCCCTCTTCTTTTGCGCCCTGCCGCCGCCCTTGGCCGACGGCACCTCCAGGTGCCTGCCGCCGGATGGCGCCTCCTTGCCTTTGCGCTTGTCTTGGGCGACCGCCGCCGCGGACGCCGCCGCGGCCGCGCCCCCGCCCTTGGTTGCCGGGTCCGGGAAGGGCGACAGGCACGCGAAGCAGGCCACGCTCCGGTGCGCGTCGGACCAGGGGACCTCGACCCAGATGCGGAGGGGGAACAGGTGGTGGTAGGAACGCGCGAGGTGCGTCGATAGGATCAGCGTCAGCCCACACGCGGGGCACTCGGCCGGCAGGCGGCACACGCGCGACCCGCAGCGCGTGCAGAGGAAGCCGTCGCGAGTGGGCCGGTTGTGGCACGCGCACAGCGCCGGGTCGGTGCCAGTCGTGCGGGAAGGGAACCCCATCATCAGCAGTGACGCCCCTGCCTCGCCACCACCTGCCGCCGCCCCCTGTTGCTGCAACTGGCTCTGGCGCGTCGCTGGTGGCCGTGTGACCGACAGCAGCAGCTCCCGGAAGTGCACGTCGTCCATTGCCACCATGTATCCCGAGCTCTCGTCCTCGCCGCCGACCAAGACGGGCTCCGACGCCGAGTGACCCGCGTTGGTCCTCCGGCAGAGGTCCTCGCATATGAAAACCTGTGCCGATAATCCAATTATGGACACCCGTATCCTGTCCGTCACGAGCCCGTCTATGGTCTCGTGTATATCGCCGGGGTCTGAGGATGAGAGTGCGCCAAAGATCATGACCACCTCACGGGTCCCGTGGGAAGGTGTATTACTGTATCAAAGCAGCATGTGTTAGCGTTTCTTGTTGATTCCCATGTCTAGCCAGCCTCGGTGCACCAACGGGTGAGAACGCGCGTCCTACAATAGTGCGCCACGGCACATCTCCAGCGCGTTCTGCAAGCTGGGATTGCCCATCGGCGGTAGCTCCACCAGCTGCCGCAGCTTCTCGATATGGTCGGCCGGGTTGCCGCTCGTGTCGGATATCCTGACGGCGACACCGTCGCGCATTCCGACGATGGCGAGCTGCGAGATGGGGTTCTGGTCGAAGAACTCGCGCGCAAAGTCGACGGCGTAGGCGATGGCGACGCGGTGGCGCGACGGCAGCATGTCCTTCTCGTCCATGGCCAGCGACATGTCGAGCACCAGGACCAGATGGCGGATGATGCCGCGCTGGATGGGCGTCGTGTCACGCAGCACCCGCCGCCGCTTCTCGGCCTCGATCCGCCCTTCGAGCGAGAGGCCCCCCTCGGCCAGCTCCTCGGCCACATCCCACGACCGCTGCAGGTCCTCCCAGGCCGCCTTGCCGCCCTTGCGCTTGCCCTTCTTGTCGCCGCCACCGCCGCCACCGCCGCCGCCGCCACCACCGCCGTCCCTCGCCGCGCCCCTGGTGTCGTAGGAGCTGCCGCCCTGGCCCAGCATCTCGTCGTCGGAGCCATCGTCGGCGACGAACTCGCCGTCCGAGTCGGCCATGTCTGCTGGGTCGGCGCCCGCTCGTCGAGGTTGGGCGGGTCGGTGCGATGGATGGGTTGGTTGACGAGGCTGGAGCCAAGGCTACGGCGGACCGGGTCGGAAATGAGCAGCGCGGTTCCAAGAGAGGAGCTGCTAACTTGGAATCTGCGTTGGTTCTTCGCTTTGGCAATCCAACTTGGGCCCGTGCCAGGCCAGCAAACCCGGATTCTTTTCGGCGCGGGGCGTGGCACCGGAATGGCGCGTCGTTTGCCCTGGACACGAGCAACGCCCGCCAATCGCGCGTGCCTGGAGCTAAGAAAAACGGCGGTTGGTAGGGATGCCCAGTGGCGTGAATGGTGGGCCAATAGCGCCCTGCTGGCCCAAACGCACCCCCACACAAGCTCCCCCCAAGCTCCTTCACCGTTCTGCCCCAACTCCAATTTATTGCCGATCCCTGTTTCCCGCTCTGCATTCCTCCCGCCATGTTGACCCCGGCAGGGCTGCGCACACATGATACGCAGGACACACACTCATGTTGCAAGTTGCCGTGGGACACCTCATGCCAGACCAGGGAGAAAAGTTCCAGTCAGAACCAGGCAGTTGCACCATCAACATCAATACAACTCAATCGTTGAAGCAGAAACTATGATAAGCATTTCCAGACATCTAACAGCAGACGGCTGCCCACCTATTTCCGTGTAAAGCCAACCGGCAGTTCAGTCCAGAGGACGGGTATACTATGTCATGCTCTAATACAGGCAAAATCAGGTATCGAAAAGTAACAGAAGCCAAACAAACCCGTTATACAAAGTCCATCATCAGAGAGATAAGATGTGTCCGGTAAAACGTGTCGCCGCCTCCAACTAGTGTCCGTCGCGGGGAATCAGTATTCCCAGATAGATTGGCCACGCGCAAAACACATTAAAATGCTCTCCCAGACGGGGACGCGTCATCCCCCGTCCCAATTAGCGAAGCCAACCTCGTGTATCTCGCGCTTTCGAGTAGATGCGAGGAGATTCGGCTCCGTCGTCCATAGTCCAATGGCTGTGGCCAGGTAATTCCCGCGGTTTCGGGTCGTCGGCTCGGTGTGGGTGGTGTGATTATGTCGAATCGGTGATCGGGCGTTGATGTACGCCGGGATAGGAGCCCCTAGGCCTATCCGGATATCCTAATGAGCGAAAGAAGCCTCTGAAAGTCTAACGCCAAAGACAAAAACCATGCCTTCTTTCATTTTTTTTCTGCTTTTCGTTTAAGGTGTTGTTTCCAGCGTGCTAGGTGTCTGGGTGTTGAGGCCAGGCAATCATGGGTACGTGGTACCAACGGGCATCGGCCAGTCGTCTTCGGTAATGCTCGACCAGAATATCCAGATCATAACAACGGACAGAAGCGTGAAGAGTGTCTGGAATAGCGAGCCGTCGATCTTGCCAGCGGTTCCTTCACAGATGTATCTGCTGGCGACGTAGTTGAATATCTGGCCGATTGCAAAAAGAAGCAGGGCGCCACCCAGATAAATCATGGGCTTGGTCTCCTGCAGGACCCGGAGCACCAGGATGGCCTCGAGCACGAAGAAGGCGACGATGAAGATCAGCGGCGCAAGCTGGTAGAGGACGTAGAGGGCGATGTGCTTGTTCGGCGGGTTGTAGCTCGAGGCCCACTGGCCGGTCCACCCGAAGCCAGTGTCGAGAGTGATGTAGCCGGTGCCAACCATAAGCACAGTAGCGGATAGGAGCAGCAGACCCAGCGAGAGTGGCGTTCCGTCATCGATAATCTGGTAGCCCACAACCGCATTGAGCATCAAGATCCACGCCGTCGCGATGATGAACCCAATATGAATGCCAGTGAAAACCTACATGCTAGTTAGCCATCTGTCCCGACAGGGTGCATCTGAAGGTGCAGCACAAGAGTCAAGAATGCAACAACTTACGACTCTGGCGGTTCCAGGAAGAGGGAATTCGCCGACGGTGAAAATCTCGCATATCTGAATCACAATGTATCCGAGGAGGAAGAGCTGCATTTCTCTGTCGTCCAAACTTGTCAGCGCCAGCCAGGAGAAACCAGAGGGTGGACTTGCGACTTGAAGACTAACCTCCTTCCAACAGCAGCCTTCTTCCGCTCTGACCGAAGCAGTAGGTAGCCCGCAACAGCAATTGCGACGGCGCACAGCAATATCACACCTAGGACCAAGAGGCACGGCTGTCAGTCTCGATAGCCACGAGTTACAGGGTTCGCAAGGTGGAACAAACCTAGGTTCCCAAGCCTCTTGTCGTTGCTCAAAGGTATCCCCGTGAGCTGGCATCCTTCCCAGTTGCCTGCTTGGTTCCTTTCCTTGCTCAAAACCTGTATTCGTGACTACAGTCAGCAACTAGGCCCAAACGACGCCCGGGAAATCGCGCAACATAGGGAGTAGGTAGGTGTTAGGTCTTACATTGCAGACGGGAAGCGTCGAGCCCCAACAGAAGGACTACACAACAACGTTGCGGAAAGCGGCCGTCAGTCAATCTGCCGCCGCCAGCTTGAAGCTGCAGCAACGGGCCGTCCCAAAACTCACGGCAAATTTTCCGAAGTCGGACATGGTTAAAGATGCTTGCAGCGCCCGGCGCTCGAGGATGGTGTCGAGTGCTTTGGTGTGAAAGAGCTGGCCGCTCGTCGACCAGATGTGACCCGCCCGGTCCGTCGTCGTCGTCGTCGCACTCGAGGTGTCACAGTCGGTCCAAACAGGCGATGGTGTGTGGTCGACCGATAAAAAGCGATGCGCCGAGTGAAGGAGATCGGGCGTGGCCCGGGAATTCAAAGGTCGTGCGCGAGATCGGGCTGAGGCGCTCGTTCGCTCGGATAATGCGAACACCTCTGCCGAGGCCCGGTCGTCTGGTGTAAGAGGCTTTCCCAGCACCGCCAAGTCACCAACAATTCCCAGTCTCTTTCTCCTTGCCGGCCCAATTGGCACTTCCTTGTTCGATATTCCGGGTCGTCGCTTCCCTGCGCGGTGTGCGATGCAGCTGTGTGAAAACTCGGCGGGTGTGTTCGGTGTGGAAGTGGGCTGGCACTGCTGGGTCGGGTTGGTGGCTCGTTGTTGTGGTAATGAGGACTGGAGCTCGCGCAGCAGCAGCAGCAGCAGCAGCAGCAGCAGCAGCAGGCACGGCGAGGGGGTGTGGGCTGGCCACCTCGCCGCTAATATAAAATTCAATGCCAGGAACGGGCAAGGCGCCAAGCCCGAAAGAGAGTTGGCAGCACGCTAAACCCGCCAAATACGCGGTGGCAGGTCACAGCTCCGGCCCACCTCCCAGGAGTCGTGTCAAGCGCGCTGATTGGGCAGCGCGCCACAGCCAGCGTCTGAAACTGGGGCATCGGGTGTCTCCAGGAGTGGAGGCTTGACGTGGACGGCCGAGGGTCGGGAACAAAAAGATGAGGCGCAGGGGTGGCAAGGGTTGGCCGCTGGCTTCTCGGGGGGTGGTGAGCGGTGGTGGGCAGTGGGGATGGCCATTGTGGCCTAGAGAGCGACCAGGGGGGTGGTCAAGAATGCAACATGGGGGAAATGAATCTTTGATTTGTGGTCCATTGACCACGATCCTCCATTCCCTCTGCGCCATTTCATGCAGCCTCGCACCCCAGGGCCAAATACCGCAGCGCTAACTGAGGGAGCATTGATGCCATGCATCGAGCCAACATTGGGCATGCCCTTTCCAGACAATGTCAGTGGATGTGTTGGGATATCGAGACATTATCTCGCTGGCTCGCTCTTTCAGTCTAGGTGCTCAGGTAGGCCGAGACACGAGGATGGGTTCAATGCTTTTACGAGCGTCAGGTCCAAGTCAGCAGGGCGTCAGCTCAGTGACCTCCCTAGACTCTTCAGTCGATTCCATCAGAGATACCTACCACCATCCCAAACACTTGGCGGCCGTGGCTGCTTACAGAGAGCGTGATTCTAATAATTACCCCTGTTGCGCGCTCCCTTTGCAGGACGTCTGAGACTGAGGCCAAAAGCAAAAAGGTCAGATTGGGCTCTTCCGACCATGCACAAAGGCTATCATAGGCACCGCCTCCTTCATGCGGCATCCATGTCGAGGGAGCAGTTCTTGCCAGGGCTTGCCCCCTCACTCGCCCATCAAGCAAAGACGACTGACGACTTGCAGCAGTCTGTGCCCAAGCCAACACCATCTGGATCTGGAGACGCGCACGTTCGCGTCGCCCGGCCACCGTTGATCCCGACCTTCGCTACATGTGGGTCTCGACCATTTGGCGAGGCCATTTTGGTGTGCTGCGACGTTGATTCTTCGACGGCCAGTCAGAACCCAGAGAACGGCTCCCGTCGCGCGGCCGTTTGCGGCACCTTCCCAGGTCAGTGGGGTCCGAGATGAAGACTTCCGGATTCATGCCTTTCTAGGTGCCGTCATTGTGATTTGCCGTGTGTGCCGTGCAAATTGACGGTACCGGCGCCAAACATCCACCAATCCCACTCCGGAGGTGGCTGGTAACCTTTTGGAAACCACACATTATTTGATTAGCGGTTATGAAACCACGGCTGAAAGCCCACTCCATCGGAGTCTTTGTGCGTCGAATGCGGCCAATGGCGACGTTTTTAATGTCCATACAAGTCTTACATCTTTCGTTGGGCTGCACGTGGTACAATGAGGTCGAAGGATCCTCTCCTCATCCTTCGTCCCCTCAAACAGGGCTTTCGCCCAACTCCCTAAAGACACATTTGTTGTGGCGAGTGCTGTCAACCCAGGGCGATATTGGTGGTGACCGCAGCTTGCGTTGACAGTACAGCGCCACACGATCGACGCAGACGAGGGTGAAGGATTCGCCCAGGCTTGCGCAGCCTTAAAGGGGCTGTAAAGTAACAGCTGAAAAGAGCAATGGGTGACAGGCAAAATGCAAATAAGAGCGAAAATTCACCGAGGCGCCAGAAACAGTGGTGAGAACACAAGACGAGACTTCGTTGAGCGAGCCTGTCCAACATCTCCAATCATCTTTGGATGCACGCCATGCCCATCTACGGCTTTTCTATCTCCGCCTAGCCCACCACTCTAAATACGTCCGAGGAGCCAGTTTAGATTTTGCCACGTCTTCCTCCTCCTCTCAACACCCAGAACACATTTCGTTTCGCGGACCGCCAAGCAGGATCGTTGACAGCATAGTGTGCCAAACCAACTATCAAGAAAGCGTTAACCACTCCCCATGCTATCTCAACAGTTTCTGGTCATGTTCTTGTCTATGAATAACTCCGGCGCAGCAGTTTCCGTACTCCTAGGCGGCTGCTGATTCTAGGCAGGTTTTGAACCCCGACGAGCTATATAGGGCATTGGGCTGGGAACAGATCTCGGTCGGGATTTTTGCTTGAACTGGTGGGCGTGAATCTCTCAGAGACCTGCGAGAACGTTGACCAAATCTGGCTCACGCTTGTCATGATCTAGAAGGGTGGTGGCGCCAAATCCAACGCGGGGTGAGGGCAACTAGCAACAGAGTACATATTTCCTCGTGTGGCCGCTGCACGTGGATCATTCTTCGGAGACACGGAACCGGAAGATCGATGGAACAGCACATCCGTGGGAGGGTTGTCAATCTACCAGGTCATGAACGGCTGCTGGACATTCCATCAGGAGCATCAGGCAGCTTGTAACAAGCGGAGCTAGAGTAAATACAGGAAACATGGAAAATAATCAATATATGTGTATCGTAGCCAGGCGAATGCTCGCGGGGCGGGCTCCTTTGGTCCAACATGGAAAAAAGTAGCCAAATGGAGTGCAGGAAGTGCGTGCCCCTAGCACAGCCGCCTGCCATCCCACCCACCATCAGCCATGCCGCCATCCCGCACCTCCCTCATCCCTCCTGAAATTCCACGATCGGGCCCCATAATACGGAGATAGGAGGCAAAAAAAAAAATCGCCATTTTCGAGGTAGCGCCAAGAGCACCCCATGTTCAGCCCCTACCAAATAAGGCCTAGCCTACATCTCTTTTTTAACATCAATCGCAGCACAAATTCGAATCCGCCCACACGCGTTTTAATCGATTGGCTAGTGCATACACCTGGCCCCTGCCCTCGCTTCACGAGTGACCTCCCCACTGTAGATTATTTAACCCTCACACCTCCGCAGAAAGAGCGTCGACGTCATTGGGCCCATCGTGGAGCCGACAGGGACTGAACGAGTCGGACAGATTCCCGCGAACCGAAGTAGCCCAGCAGAGCCGCACATTTACCAACAAGGCTGTGTTGAGGGCAAGGTCAATGAATACCCAGTGAGCCAGGAGGAGGCTGCCATGTATTCCAAGATAAGCACTCCCTGTTACGTCTGGTTGGATCATGCTGGAGATCCGGAGGGTAGATTTGTGTCGGGATTGGGATCGCCGAAAATGGCTGGAAGCCTTCCCGAATTGCCGCGCGTGCTCGGTACCCCATAGAATTCAGTTGCGCCCAAGACCTAAGGCCCTAATTCACACCTTGGCCTCGATGTTGCTCCAGCGCTGAGAGACATCAGACGGGCAAAGGGGCCCTTGGCTGCAGTGACTGTGGGTCG